TTGATCGATTTAACCCACTTTTGTGCCGACTTAACATTGTTGAAAAAGCATAATTCGTATTTTTTCTTTTAATATTGATGACTTGAATTTGAAGAAGATAAAGCACCAAGAGTTTTCTCGTGTTTCCAGTGAATTGAAATTAGCATCCTAATAAATTGTTGTATGGCTGTAAGTCTATAAATAAGAATTTCTTGATCAGATTTGTAGGCAAGTAAAAAAATTATTAAAAAAAATAGAAGAAAAAGAGAAACTAAAATTTCCAGCAATCTCTTTATATCTAAAATCCATTTTCAGCTTTCTTTATTGGGCACTTTACAAATAAGTCACCATCAATGGGTATTTATTCATAAAGAGGTCCAGACAAAAAAGTCTTTTACAAAAAAATCCATACATTGTCGAGAGGTTTTAAAAGACTAAAATAGCCTATAACATTTTAATATGCTCCAATTTCATCATTTATTTTAATTTAACCTCAATTTGACCCCAAAGTTTACAAATTATTCAATTTTGACCCAAAATACATTTTTTAGTACAATTTCGTCCGTCGCCGCTCTCTGGCGTTGACAATTTATTTTCTCTTCCTGGTTTTTTTGCCGCCGGTCTTCGGCGTTGACTTTGTCAAAAAAATTGATTTTTTTTTCTCTAGCATCTTTCAAAATCTTGATAGTAGCTCTCAACAAAATAAATGGTTACACTCACCCGGCTCACATTAATCATGTTATAAATCCAACCTGTACCATAGAGGTAAATTTCCAAGTTCAAAAGAAAATCGGAAAAAGTAATTGTAAAAAAGGAGAACAGAAAGGCAATGGGAGAAGAAATAAAAAAATAAAATAAAAAAAAAAAAAAGAAATTGTACACATACGAACTTGGCAAGAGTTGCAATACCATCTCTAGTAGAAGGTTGTTGACGATTGACACATTTTGTATGTATTCATCTATTATGCTAAAGGATCAACCAAAATTGAGAAATAGAAAATCTCCATTATTGACGAAACACACATACTTCTAACATAAAATTGAAATAAATACTCTACATTTCAGGCATGCATAATTACAACCTACAATAATAAGAAAAATTTCCACATAAAAATCATTAGTGTCAACAAAAATGCTGAAAATTTAACATAGACTTACTTCTTCCAGCTGATTACCGCGAACAAAGATGTTTGTATTGCAGCAGGACGATCGTCGGCCCCTAGGATTTTTTTTTTTTGTTGGGATGGGGGTGGAGAAAACATATAAACCTTAATAATGATATGTAGCGTTTTTCATTTTTGAAAAAATATCAGATTTATAAACCTTGACAAATGATACGTTAGAGCAATGTTAAACTCAATCTCTAATACTTAGGATAATTTCCAAATGCAAATCTTACGAAAAATCTCCAAATGATATGGTAATGAGGTGACATTTGAGATTTTAGAGATTCTTAAGATGACACTTTGGAATTGGAATGTCATATTGATGATCTCCAATTGGAAGAAAAAGTCTTAAATATATATGATTTATATATATACTGTACATATTTATTTTTTAAAATTTTCTCAACTCTGTAATTAATTTAATTTAATTTTATTACATAGTTATTTTTAATTTTTTTTATGTGTAGTTATTTTTAATTTTATAAACATTATTTATTAATAATTTTGCAATTGACAAAAAATAAACATATATTGTTGTATTAAAATATTTTCTATGTTTTATATTTTTTTTTATTATATTTTAAGTTAGGGAAGGGGGGGGGGGGGGGGGGGGGGGAAAAAAAAAATTTTTTTTTTCCCCAAGGACCCCCCCCCGGGGGGGGGGGGGAAGAAAAAGTCTTCTTCTTCCCCGATGCACCCCACCCCACGCCACCAACCACCAAACTCAACACTTCTTCTCCCTACGCCGTTGCCCAACCACCGGCTCACCCTTCATACACCCCCGTCTTCTTCCATATCCACAGTCCACAATCGTAATTTTTTTCACGAAGTACCATTTCTCCTCCAATTTCACTCTTCCTATGGCAGCCTATATCTGCAATTTCACTCTTCCTATGGCAGCCTACATCATGGTCCAATTTCACTCTTCCTATGGCCGATGCCGAACTTTTTCCTGATTGACAGGTGGCGGCGGAATGGAACGAGGAAGAAGAGCGTCTTCAATTTATTTTCCTTATTTTGCAATTTTGGAAATTGTAAAATTTACAATTTAGTCGTATAAATTATAGTTATTTATAATTTAATCACTCAATTTTTTTATACAGGGGTATCTATGACATTTCACCCTAGAAATAACATAAAAATTTGCACAGTCCGCGAGTGAGAGATACGATTTGCCTTAAGGGGTCTAGATGCATTGACTTTGGTTACACAGAGGGGCGTTGGTGAGTTTTTTTTTTTTTTTTGACAGAGGGTATTTGCCAATTAGAGATTACACAGGGGAGGTATTTGCAATTAGCTCGATAATTAAATTATCTTCAAACCGTAAATAAATTTCATCATAGCTCTAGTACTTTTCCACCTTCTTCAACACTATTTTATTGGAGTTGTATGTTTCTCTTAAAATTCAAGTTTTAGTTAAAAACACTAATTAATTACTTAATTTGTTTTAACAATAATTTTCTCAAACTTTAAATAATTGAATTAATTTGATTATTCTGACCTAAAATAAATGAACTATATGCGTGATTTGTAGAAATTGCTAGTTTGTATACAATATATATTCATGGTTTAACGAAAAGGAAAAATATTAATTTAAAATTTATTAGTAAACTATTTAACTATTGAATGTTCACATAAACCCTATTTGCTTCTTTTTCTCTCTCCTAAAATAAATCTGAATAAACCCTACTTGTATTAAATCCAGAATGAAATCGAAAATGGAATTTTTTTTTCTCTTTTTGACGGAATATTTCTTTAATAAATTAATAGTTTGAATTTTAATTTTAAAACTCAATAATAATTTACACCTAATATTTTTTTGAGTGTTGTGTGTTGCATCGGAGAAGACAGTAGAAAATCTCAATCTTGTCAATTAGAATAAATAAAATTTTAAGATTCACATTCGGTATTTTTAACCTAGGATTTTTAGAGTTTTTTTTTTAGGTTAGCATTGGAGATGCTCAAAGGTTTTCGGAAAATGTCAGATTTTTTCGGCCATATTTTGTAACATCTCAGTGTTTCGAAAATTATATTCCGTAAGGATGTACACCAAATCATATAATCTAGATATTTTATGAATCGAATCAAATCCGGAAAATTTGGGATTCAAGAGGATTTAAAAACAGAAGTAACAGAATTGGGAGGTTAAGGTTGAGTAATTGAGTTGAGCGGGGACATGGGTAATTGATTTAGGGGGCTTAAAATTAATTTTAATAAGCTAAATAAAATCATAAAAGTTATGAATTAAATAAATGATAATTACAACCATCAAATAAGTAGGAAAAAGACCCCAGACTTTATCGAGAGCAACATTACGAAAAGGAAAAATATTAATTTAAAATTTGTGCGTAAGATGCATGGATTCACCACTTGCAGTCCTTAAGCTCCGTATACTTGCACTCAACCGTAAGCCTAACCCGGTCAACAACATAGTAATATTACTTTGTTACACAATAATAATGAGTTTTGTTGTGTTAATATTACCGAGCTAGAGATTAATATAGCAATATTATTGTGTTAAACTGTAGTATAGTTAATTTTACTGTCAATCACAACAATATTGTTGTTTAAACGGGAAAAAAATATGCTAGAGAAAGAAAGCAAAAAAAATTCGAAAAAGTCAACGCCGAAGACTGGCGGTCAAACGGCGGTGACCGACGAAATTGTCCATGAAAATGCGTTTTCGGTCAAAATTGAATAATTTATGAAATGTGGGGTCAAATTGAGGTTAAATTAAATAAAATGATGAAATTGGAGCATATTAAAGGATGAGGGGCTATTTTAGTCTTTTACAAAAATCTGAACCATGTGTGTTTTTTTTGTGAAACAGTTTATTGTCTGGATTTCTTTATGATAAGTACCCATTAATGAGCTTATTTGTAAAAAACCCATAATTAATTAGTCGTGAAATATTAATCCGATTTCACATAATCCAATATATAAATAAGTACGCATTGATGAACTTATTTGTAAATACCCCATAATTAATTAATCGTGAAATATGAATCTAATTTCACCACATCCAATGTAATAAGATATAGGTAAGCAAACAAGGTCCTTTAAAGTGCGAAACTCCAAATACAGACTATACAGTAATAATATGATTGATCTGATTTGCACCGCTTAACAATCATCTAAGAAACCATTGCCAAGTCGAAAACGGCGGCGACGCAATCCGGTAAGAAAAGCCTTCTCTTCTTCTCTTCCTTAGATTCACAACAAAAATGGAGAATTTAAGGAAATATATTATTACTCCAGGTTTTTTCTTTCATCCCTTCACCCTTGATTTCATTACCATATTGTTTTAAGGATAACTGCTCTTCATTAATCAAATTAAAGCATGTGAGATTTCTGATGCAAATTGCTATTCAAATAATATTCATAATTTAGCACTAATTGTGGATTTATTTTTTTTTTTTTTTTTTTTTAAATTTTTTGTTTTGGGGTTTTAGTATGCTAATAATATCTGACAATTTCTACCAATATTGTTCATCTGTACTAAGAATTCACGATGGAGATGTTTTTTGCGAGTACGAAAATTACTACTTATCTGTTTTCGGAATTGATAAATTGTTATCTTTGTTTACGTCGTAAACTTCGTTTATAAACTATCATTATTCACAATTAGAAGGTTTAGAAAATTGGGGTTGAATCGGAAATGTATCACTCGTATGTTCATGTGATCTGCTTTTGATGCTTGTTCGGTGGTTTCTCTTTTATATTTATTAGGTGTCCTATTGCGGCAGAGAGAAGCGCCTATGAATATTCATGATTTGGGGCAATTAATACAGAAGCGCCGAACAAGGGCAAATTCATGCTCAATTGCCCATTGTTCGCGTAAGTTTTCTTACTACACTACATTTGCCATGTTTACAATTGTGACAGCACGTTTGAGATGACAAATAATAAATGAAATAAGTTAGTTGTGTTTTTTCCTGTTTAGCAAAATATTATTTTCACTTTGATATAGCTGTTAGTCTACGTTTATAATAGGTGATTTATTGATATAGTTACCCTTTGAAGGTTGACTGATTGTTAATGATTCATAATCGACATTTTTAATATGATGATGTTTAAGTATTGAGTCATAGAATCGGAATCTAGTATTTGCGTATTCTAGTAAATCTTCCAAATATTCTTTTTACGATGGATAAAAGTATCTTTGAGTTGCATAAAACAATCAATTTAGTTTTGGTATTATATAGAACCTCGATAATCTAATTCGTTAAATTTATAAGATTAATACATAAAATAAATTCATATAGATGTGATGCAACGAACGAATCTGAATCTGTTTTATTCAATCTTAAGCAAGTTCCATGCATATCAACGTCTTGTTAGTTAACTCTACAATTATTTGCATTGTAGAGGAAAATAAGCAGTAATATAATTCCTTTTTCTTGTTAGTTGCTGTTTGGCCAAAAAACGATAAACTTTCGTTATGTCTCATCCACATCTATCATTTGATCATTAAAGTGTCAAAAAATATAATCAAAAGTACAACTCGATTATCCCAGTAGCTAAGATTTAATTAATATATGCAGGATAAGGAATCGTACTAATTGGAAAATTCCATTCCAATTTCTATTCGAACTATACAATTGGTTCCTAATGAGATTGCGAATTTCAAGTTTATAGCTACTAGAAGATACTACCACGTCACAGTTCTTTACTGCAAGGTAGAAGATATTTACGGTCTGAGTTTGCCGGTATGAAAATTATCCATCTTTTTTCGGGAATTGGTTTGTTTTCGTCTATGCAGTTAACTTCGTTCATGAGATATTATACTCTAAATTTGAAACTTCATAGGTTAATGCTTACAACTTAAAGATTTTCTTGCATTTAGTATATTTTTCTTTCTTGGATTTAATGTGATCTTATTTTTATGCTTGTTCAATTGCTTCGCTTATATGTCTTATTGTGGCAGAGAGAAGCCTATGATTTTTCATGATTAAAGTATTCCGGAATAATTAAGTAATGTTCTTCCAAAATCGAAAATTTTCGAAATTGAATCGGATGAATTCGAAACTTCCTTTCCAATTTCCAGTTGAATTATAAAGTTGGGTCCGAATGAGATTGCAATTTTCAAGTATATATCTTATTATTGCAACCAAACGAGGCCTCAACAACATGACTATGAAAAAATTAAGTTAATTATACTTTTTGCGTGTTAATATTTCTATAGGCAAGTCGAGCAATGAAGGCTTTGGGATGTCTCGTTAGGCTCAAATCGTTGATCGAAGTGCATGCAGAAACTGGCTCATGTTCAATCAGAAAACTGGAGAAGAACACGAGAAATCGAGAATAATACCTGTAATTCACCTGGCCTTATATATTTCCGTTTCAAGTCGAATACTATTATCTTGCATTAGGCGACACTATTTATGGATGAAAAAAATAGTGCATTCTTTATTTTCAGATGTTTTTCGCTCTCTGAAATTATTTCTGTGTTTTTGTTTCATTTCAACGACTCTTGTATGCCTTGAACTAAGAAAAATCGAATTACGACTGACAGATGGGCGAGAATTGTGACGGCAGCACACAGTCTAAAGAGCAGATTGAAGCACATATTCATAATAGGCAAGATGCTGCTCCGAGAAGGGAGTGTCCGTTGGCTTATGCATATTCGAACCAGGTAGTAATATAGCTATCTCTATTTCCTTTTTAGCGACCGTATATTTTAACCTAAAAACTAGTAATACCAAATATTTGCATTGTATAGGATAATACCATGAAAAAAAGTCAATTATACTAAAAGTATTTAAACTGGAAACGGGAAAGCAAAATGATCTTTATTATAGAGAAAAGTGTACGATTATATATCGAACAAGAAAAGTAGGGTTAGCAATCGTGTTTTCATAATAGTACGTGCATGTCGTCCTAATAATTCACGTAGCCTATTACAACTCCCTTTCGATAAGTTTTAATCGACTACGGAAACAATTTAATAACTAAACCATGTATGTATGATCTCGGTCATATTTACTGAATAATTCCTACCCATATGTTTCTATACGTTCACAGGTGTTCTCTTCGAGTATTTCCAGTAAAATGTTAATGGAAATGATAAATTTAACTTAGATTTTGCATTAGTATGTATATAACTTTGAATGCGTATGTAGCTTAATGAATGCTGAGAATCCATCTTCATCACTTGACGATAATTCCTACATCGTAAACTATCTTTATTTTAATTTTTTTTTCAAATTTAGTATGCATCAAATGGAATAACTGTATATGGTAATTATAAACCTTAAAATCATTCAAATTTATGTTAAAAACATTAAATTTGAATTTTTTTAAGACTATCGGTTCGTGTAATAAATTAGCTGTATCCAACTTCATACATTGCCAGAGATAGGATTTTATTACAAATGGCAAACCTCTTAAATGCAGTTATAAACTTGTTAATCGTGTCCAGATTCATTATAACTTCGAATGGAAAAAGAATTATGACGCAATCCAATTAGTCTTTTCCTTACATTTTACAGCCAGCATTACAATTTTTCGAGCATTTCAAATATCGTTACATTCTTAATTGAGGGCCTTTTACGATATTCAGAATCGCTGTTCAATCAAAACCCTAGTGCTATATATTTCTTTTCTTTGTGCAAATAGAACAACAGTCCTAGCCATTCCATAAACAAATAGAACAGTGTTAAATCGATTTTTTTTTCGTTCTTTCTTTCTCCGTTTTTTGTAATTCTTTCGCGCCGAAATGGATACAACTGATCTCCCGTTTCATATCATAATGGTTATCCTCTCGATGCTTCCAGTCGAAGCCCTAGCCAAGTTCCAGTGCGTCTGCAAAGCCTGGAAGAACATAATCCGGGATCCGAAGTTCGTGAAAGATCACTTCCAAATCCAGGCGGCTAAAGGTAAAGACTATCTTCTTTATGTGCCGTTGGACCGTACGATCGAGCGTGCGTTCACGTTACTTTGTGATGAAACGTTCGATCAGGCCCTAGAATTCGAAATTCCTTCCGAGTTTCGTGATATGAGCTTCATTATAATTGGTTCTTGTAACGGTGTATTGTGCTTCACTGATGCGAATAGCTTCGGTAGCACCGTGTATTTGTGTAATCCCTCGATTAGAAAATACAGGACAGTAATTAACCCAATGTTTGATGGTGTTGAATTATCGTGCCAAGGTGATGTCGATTTTGCTTTAGGGTTTGGGTATTATGAACACACGAACGATTACTTGATTATTAGGATTGCTATCCTAAGTGACGAGGAAGATGAGGCAACTAGCAAAGTCGAGGTTTATTCAATGGTCGCAAATTCGTGGAAAAATCTGGAAGTGGATCGCTTTCCATGGGAAAGGATCGAATTAAAATCGGAAGCTGTGATGCGTGATTCGGTTCATTGGAAGGCGGATTACAGAGATGGGGACGAGGGTATTCCGGTAATTTTGGCGTACCGTATGGGAGAAGAGGTGTTCCGACAGATAGGATTACCTAATTATAAAGCCGATGGGAAAGGCCTGGTCGAACACATTGGAGTGTATAAAGGGAATCTTGCGATGTTCGTATTTCATCAATCGGATCACTTTTCTTGGCACAAAAACTGCCACTTGTGGGTAATGAACGAGTACGGAGTGGTGAGTTCTTGGACGAAATTATACACTGTAGTAATAGATGCCGGAGTTGTTACTCCGATTATGTTTACGAATAACGACGAGATTATATTTGAAGACGGCGAGTGTGATTTGACCGTATGCCACTTCGAAAGAAACACGATTTCGTACCTTGGAGTTGAAGATCAAGGTTACCTTAATTTCGTGACGTACAACGGTAGCCTTGTTATGTTGGAGGACTAAAAAAAATGGCATTTGGTCTGTTTTTTTATCGACGAAGAAAGGGTATTCGTAATCCTCTCAAAGACTTTTTTTTTTTTCTTCTTTTCTTTTCGTGTGTTTAGTTTTTGAATTATCGTTCAGATGGAGTATTTTGTTCGTTTGATTAATTCTGAATTACCATGATTTTCTATGGTAAGTTGGACTTTGAATAGTTGGTTATTAATTGATCATTCGCCATCAATGTTTTTGAAAGTTGTTTCCGGATATGTATGAACGATATCGTTTGATTGCAATGAACTATATACTTATTATATAAGGGATGTTTTGTTTGTAACTGGTAGAGCTAATACAAGGATGCTAAATGCGATAAAACCTTCTCGAAATTTAAAGATTCTAATTTAAAGCTCGATTTACCGATCACTTATGAGACTCTATGCATCCCAAAAAAGAAGGATAAATAGAACTTAATTCCTCATAATTATCTTCCATTCTTCATTGATTGAATGTGACAACATTGTTTTTGTGTCCTCAATATTTGAAAAAAATTATGAAAGTAACTAAGATTACACTTGTTATATTTTGTTAAACATTAACAAAATTCTATTTAAGCCAAAATTTCTTTTTGATAAAATAGAATTCGGCATGAGCGTTTGTTTAGTTTTTCTTTCAAAATTGTTCTAAAAACATGTTCAGATTATAAATCTTTTTGTTGATTCAGATTATATTCTAGCATTCTTCGGATTAGTAATAAGTGTTACATAGCTCGTTGGTGAGTGTTTGCCCGAGGAAGATAATCCAACCCCAGAAAGAGCCAAACAAAATTTGAATTTTTGGAGGAACTAGAAAACACAACATGTGTTGCACGTGATTATATATAATTTATGATTAATTAATAAAAATTACATATTATATTTAACATCAAATATATTTTTAAATAAAATCAAATAAGTACAAACACAGTAATTTTACTATCTGAGATAACAATATTGCAGTATGAGACAGTAATATTACTATCTGAGACAATAACAGTATTGTGTCACAGAATAATATTACTGTTTGAGACAGTAATATTGCAATGCGATAGTAAAATTACTGTTCGAGACGATAATATTACTGAAAAGTGAACAAATAAATGCTAAAAAAAAACATTGGAGATATGCGGTCAACGGCGGCTAACCGGTGGTAGCGAGCTGTGGCGGTCAATATTGGGCTAGGGGTCAAAATTGTTTAATTGGTGAAACTGAAACTAAATTATTGCTTAAATCATGAAATTGAAGTTGAATTCGGGTTCCAAGGAGTTAGGAGTAATTTTGATACTTATGATATAGTTTTTCTTATTAGGAAATAAGTTTGAAAAATGTGAATAAATTTGTTATACAAAAGAGTAGAGTATTCCTCTATTAATCAAGTGGCCTTGTCATGAATTTTTTTTCCGCCCAATAGAAGAAAAGCTTCTTCGAGGAAAAATTCAAGGTCAAAGAAATTGAATCTCAAGGTGAGTGATCTCTTTAGAAGGATGGCATTATAATTTACATCATGAGACGTCAAAATATAACTCTAATTATTACTTTATGAATAAACTTTGCAGGACAATGAGCTCGTCACTGCCAAAGTTATAACATCTCAGTGCAATTTTGATGGTACTTGCAATTTGTTTTTCTTTTACAACTAACCTATACATTAACGTGCTGTCAATTTAATATGAGCAAAGTCGATAGTTTCATGTTTTACTCATTTAACTTGAGCATGTTTTATATATATATATATACATGGTTGTCAAAATCGAACGATTCACGATTTGAATCGTCCGATTCTATTCGATTCAGACTCAACTCGATTCAAATCGGTGAATAAATCGAAAAATTAAAAAAATCGTAACCAAATCGTTTAAATCGTTGGTAAATCGCCCAAATCGTGCGATTTGTACGAGTTGGCCGATTTGCTCAGATTTGCTTTATCTTATTAATATATTATATATTATTAAATTAGGAAGTGATTTCTAGAAGACCCACTTTCCAAAAAAAATTGTCTTTTGCCATTCTCCTTGATTCTCCCTTCTCTCAGCAAATTCAATAAAGAAAAATCAATCCCACTCCCACCGTCTGCCGTAAAAAATTATCCCTTCTTCTTGTTTTGATCTTCAACCAAGTTACACTGGTAATTAATAATTTTACACTTTGCACATTATTCTAGATATATGTATTTAATTTTTTTATATTATCATTATTGTACAGATTTCTTATGGTGAAATCAAAGAGGAAGAAAAGCAAGAGCAGTGATGATCCAGGATGGAAACATTGCCAAAAAATTGATGAAGGAAATATGCGAGTAAGATGTGTACACTGTCAAGTTATCTATTGGGGAGGTGTTTATCGCATAAAACATCATTTAGCAGGAACTAGAAAAGATGTTGAACCATGTACAAAATGTTCTGAAGAAATTCGAAATTATTTTTTAAATTATCTGGAAAATCAAAAAATGAAAGGAGATTATGGGGATGATGGAAATTTTGTTGAAGATGATGTTGGTCAAATTCCTGGAGAAAGAAAAAAACGAACAATAAAGGTTTTCAAAAAATCTGAAAAAGAGACAGGCTCTTCTAAAACTACTTTGAATACGTTATGGAAGACGAAGGACAGAGATTCCGTGTGTAGTGATATATGTAGATGTCTTTATGCAAATGCTCTCCCCTTTAATTTGGTGAAAGATCCATTTTTTAAATCTATGTTGCAGTCAGTTGCAGAATATGGAAAGGGGTTAATACCTCCTTCCTATCATGAGGCAAGGGTAACTTTTTTGGAAAATGAAGTTAAGTCAATCCAAGAAATTATCGAAAGATACAAAGATGAGTGGAAAACGACAGGGTGTACTCTTATGTTAGATGGATGGACAGATAATAGGAATCGCTCTATCACGAATTTCTTAGTTAATAGTCCAAAGGGAACTGTGTTTCTAACAAGCATCGACACTTCTGATATTTTTAAGAATGCTACTGAATTGTTCAAACTTCTTGACAAGTTTGTTAGACAAATTGGGCCGGAAATTATTGTTCAAGTTGTTACCGACAGTGCGGCAGCTTATGTAAAAGCTGGAGAGATGTTGATGGAATCTAGAAAAAATATTTTTTGGAATCCTTGTGCTGCACATTGTATGGATCTCATTCTAAAGGATATTGGAGATATGCCGATACATAGAGACACCATGGCCAAGGCAAGAAAAATTACAGTGTACATCTACAGGTAATTCGTTTTATTTGGTTCTACTTTATACTTAATGTGTAATTTATATTAGGGATTATTTGTCAAAAGCCCCCCATTACACAAGGCTAATTACAATAGATCCAATTTTTTTAGAACTATTTGAGATAAATCCATTTCAGCATTAAATAATAAAAAATAATAAATTATCACTATTTTACCCCTAACCTAAAGGTAACGTCTATTTTATGATTGGAAATAAAAAAAATTAAAAAAGATTTGTAATATCTTTTCCTATTATATTGCAATTAATTACGAACCCTGCAATCATTCGTCAAGAAATCCTCATCGCAGCAGCGGAAATATCTCCGCAGCCGATCCTCCTCAACATATCCGTCCGCCGCTCCTCCTCCCCACCGCTGCCGGCCGCCACATCCGCGGCGAATTTCATCGTGCCTAATCATTGGGATGCCGACACCGTACTCTTTGTTGCTTACGGTAATTATTATTAATTACTCAATTTAATTAAACTAATTATATTGATAATATAATTATATGTATTTGGATCATGTGGTGCAGGAACGGTAATTATATAATTATTAATTACTCAATATATATAATTATATATATTGATAATATAATTATATGTATTTGCAAGTAATGGCAGAATTCGCATCTATCTTATGTTTGGTCTAGTAATTTTGATTTGCTTGAATTTAAATACTCTTTTAATTGAAAATTTTCAGACTTTTGTTACGACACGCTTTTGCTAGCTTCTCGAGTTTAATTATCCGGTGATTGATCGTCATTATTGTTGTTATTGTTTTGAATTCTCATTCAGGAAAATTGATATTGTTATAAGCCAGAAAATGGAGATCGGTAAAGCGATAAGAGAAAGTGATGATATAAGGTTGAATTTTTGTTCTTTTAAATTTGGTAATGTTTTTGTTCTTGATGATATTTTTTTGACGAAATTGCTGATGGGCGGAAGAAGATGATGATTTTTTCAAATAGTGGTTTACGTTTCAAATAACGAGAAGAAGATGATTACACAGACTATGCTCTAGGGTTCATTCGAGAGAAGATGGTGTCCTTTATAGTGGTTTTATAGCTTCTTTTTCGCAGAATTTTTGATGTTTTCTTGTTAGAATTCATAGTGATTTTCGATGTTTATATAGTTGTGTATATAATGTGGTTTTCATGTTTATATAATTGTTTTATATCAAGTGGTTTTCATGTTTATATAGTTGTTTATACGGAGTAGTTTTCATAACGTCAGGCTTTGTTTTTGATAAATTTATAGTGGTTTTCAACAATTTTATAGTGGTTTTCAATAATTTTTGTACAACTTTTTATTTAACTGTATATACAGAGTGGTTTTTAAGTTGACATAGTTATTATAAAGAGTGGTTTTCAAGTTTACATAGTTGTTATACAGAGTGGTTTTCATGTTTATAGAGTGGTTTTCATGTTTATATAGAGTAGTTTTTATTTAAAAAAACTAAAAAGAAAATAAAAAAACCGATTTTTAAAAAACTTTGAAATAAAAAAAAAATATGAAAAAACGAAAAATAAAAATAAAACCATTTTTTAAATTAAAATAAAAAACATGAAAAATATAAATAAGAAAAAAAATAATTTAAACTAAACAACCGAAAAAAAAATAATAATATAATTACAAAATTTTATTTTAAATGGAAATAAAGAAAACCATTAAACAAAATAAAAAGGAAAAGGGAAAAAAAAAACTGAATTAACGTGATGAGGGGAATAATTTTAGGAGAAGATTTGGGTGTAGATTATGGGTGTAATTTTTTTTAAATTAAATTATTATACTAATTAATAGTTAGTGGGGGCATATATGGTTTTTCAGACCCATTGGATTTATCTCAAATATCATTTATAAAAAAAGGATTTATCAAGAATTAAATTCCCAATGAAGGGTGTTTGGCATATTGCCCCTTTATATTATTACTTTATATCCCTTTAAGTTTTACCATGTTTATTTTCAGACATGCTTGGGTTTTGAACTTAATGAGAAAATTCACGCGGCACAGGGAGTTAACAAGACCTGCTGTTACAAGATTTGCAACATCGTATTTAACTTTGAGACGTTTGCATGAGTCAAAGATG